TTTAAAATGTTGCGGTTTCTAAAACTTTTAAAAGTTTGTGGTTTCTAAAACTTTTAAAACTTTGTGGTTTCTAAAACTTTAAAAAGTTTGCGGTTTCTAAAACTTTTAAAACTTTGCGGTTTCTAAAACTTTAAAACGTTTCGTTTTTTTAAACTTTTAAAATGTTGCGGTTTCTAAAACTTTTAAAACTTTGCGGTTTCTAAAACTTTTAAAAAGTTCGGTTTCTAAAACTTTCAAAAGTTTGTGGTTTCTAAAACTTTTAAAACTTTGTGGTTTCTAAAACTTTTAAAAAGTTTGCGGTTTCTAAAACTTTTAAAACTTTGCGGTTTCTAAAACTTTAAAAAGTTTCGTTTTTTTAAACTTTTAAAATGTTGCGGTTTCTAAAACTTTTAAAACTTTGCGGTTTCTAAAACTTTTAAAAAGTTCGGTTTCTAAAAACTTTTAAAACTTTGTGGTTTCTAAAACTTTTAAAAAGTTTGCGGTTTCTAAAACTTTTAAAAGTTTGCGGTTTCTAAAACTGTTAAAAAGTTTGCGGTTTCTAAACTTTTAAAATGTTGCGGTTTCTAAAACTTTGCGGTTTCTAAAACTTTTAAAAGTTTGCAGTTTCTAAAACTTTTAAAAAGTTTCGTTTTTTTTAAACTTTTAAAATGTTGCGGTTTCTAAAACTTTTAAAAGTTTGTGGTTTCTAAAACTTTTAAAACTTTGTGGTTTCTAAAACTTTTAAAAAGTTTGCGGTTTCTAAAACTTTTAAAACTTTGCGGTTTCTAAAACTTTAAAAAGTTTCGTTTTTTTTAACTTTTAAAATGTTGCGGTTTCTAAAACTTTTAAAACTTTGCGGTTTCTAAAACTTTTAAAAAGTTCGGTTTCTAAAACTTTTAAAACTTGCGGTTTTTTAAACTTTTAAAATGTTGCGGTTTCTAAAACTTTTAAAACTTTGCGGTTTCTAAAACTTTTAAAACTTTGCGGTTTCTATAACTTTTAAAAAGTTTGCGGTTTCTATAACTTTTAAAATGTTGCGGTTTCTAAAACTATGAAATGTTGCTACTGCTACCACCGTGGTGATGATGGTGGTGATGGTGGTGATGGTAGTGTTGATGATAGTGGCGATGATGCTGATGATGGGAATGATGATACTGCTGCTGCTGATGGTAGTGGTGATGGTGATGATGATGCTGCTGCTGCTGATGGTGGTAGTGAGGGTGCTGATGAACCTAATGATTGTGATGATTATGATGAGGCTGATGAGGCTGGCAGTGATGGTGGTGATTGATGATGCTGATGGTGGTGGTGATGATGATGATGGTGGTGGTGATGATGGTGATGATGATGATGATAATGGAGTCTATCGCAGTGACAGTAACAACGACTTCCTTACTCTCCCCTCAGTGCAGCAATCCGCTCCCCCAACTGGACCCCTCTCTCCCCGTACGCCGGGTGACCCAAGATCGTCGCTTGCGGCTGGCCGGTCGTGATGGTGTTGGTGATGGTGGTAGTGATGGTGGCGGTGGTGGTAATGGTGGCGGTGGTGGTAATGGTGGTGGTGGTGGTGAAATCCTTTCTCAAGAAGGTGATGGTGGTGGTGGCGGTGGTAGTGGTGGTGGTGAAATCCTTTCTCAAGAAGGTGATGGTGGTGGTGATGGTGAAATCCTTTCTCAAGAAGGTGATGGTGGTGGTGGTGAAATCCTTTCTCAAGAAGGTGATGGTGGTGGTGATGGTGAAATCCTTTCTCAAGAAGGTGATGGTGGTGGTGAAATCCTTTCTCAAGAACTCAGAGGAGAGTGAACTCGGCTAGCCAGGCGAACAAGAGGAGGGAGGAGGGAGAGGAGGGAGAGGCAGAGTCCGAGTGCGTGGTGCTTGCCACCCACCCCCTCTGTGTGTGCCACAGTGCCGGTAGCCTTCATAGGTTGCTGCTGCTACTCGCTACTAACAGCACTTGCCCCTGCAGCCTGTTAGAGGCTACACGGGGGATCTTTGTCTGTGTGCCGGTCGCCTTCACAGACAAAGACAAAGATCCCCCGTGTAGCCTCTAACAGGCTGCAGGGGCAAGTGCTGTTAGCTAGCAGCTCACACACAGAGACAAAGATCCCCCGTGTAGCCTCTAACAGGAAACAGGGGCAAGTGCTGTTAGCTAGCACCTCACACACAGACAAAGATCCCCTGTGTAGCCTCTAACAGGCTGCAGGGGCAAGTGCTGTTAGCTAGCACCTCACACACAGACACAGACAAAGATCCCCCGTTTAGCCTCTAACAGACTGCAGGGGCAAGTGCTGTTAGCTAGCACCTCACACACAGACACAGACAAAGATCCCCCGTGTAGCCTCTAACAGGCTGCAGGGGCAAGTGCTGTTAGCTAGCACCTCACACACAGACACAGACAAAGCTCCCCCGTGTAGCCTACGCGGGCTAATAAGGCAAGTGCTGTTCACGAGTTTAACACACACATACTCATATACAGACAAAGATCCCCCGTGTAGCCTTAACAGACTGTAGGGGCAAGTGCTGTTAGTGAGTGGCACCTATGATGGCTGGAACGGCAACACGAGGGGGTGGGTGGCCAGCACCACGCCCGGCCGCCTTTGTCTCCCCCAGTGGCGATGTTCACTCCACACCGCTACACCAGCTACTCAGTTGAGGCTGAGTCGACCTAGGGGACGCCCAGGACCGGTTCAGATAATCGTCACTGGGTGGTGTTCGTGGCCGTGAGTGGGAATCGAACCCGGGTCGCCGGGTTCGATTCACTGCACCACCGCTCTCAATGTACAGACACCACACATTACACTACACACTACACTACACATTACACTACACACTACACACTACACTACACGTTACACTACACTACACACCACACATTCCACTACACACTACACATTACACTACAGTACACACTACACACCACACTACACATTACACTACACACTACACTACACACTACACTACACACTACACTACACATTACACTACACTACACACTACACACTACCACCACCACACAACCACAATCAACACACACTACACACAACCACCACCACCACACAACCACAACTACACACAACCACAAACACACACAACCACAACTACACACAACCACAAACACACACAACCACAACTACACACAACCACAACTACACACAACCACCACCACCACACAACAACCCCCCTCTCCCCTCTCCCCACGCCCCCCCTAAACTGCCCCCCACCTCCCCCCACGTGGTTGACGACGCTGACCACGTGATCACCTCACCCCTCCCCCACCCCACGTGGTTGACGACGCTGACCACGTGATCACCCCTCCCCCCACCCCACGTGGTTGACGACGTTGACCACGTGATCACCCCTCCCCCCACCCCACGTGGTTGATGACGCTGACCACGTGATCACCCCTCCCCCCACCCCACGTGGTTGACGACGCTGACCACGTGATCACCCCTCCCCCCACCCCACGTGGTTGACGATGCTGACCACGTGATCACTTCCCCCACCACGTGGTTGACGACGCTGACCACGTGATCACTTCACCCCTCCCCCCACCCCACGTGGTTGATGACGCTAACCACGTGATCACCCCTCCCCCCACCCCACGTGGTTGACGATGCTGACCACGTGATCACTTCCCCCACCACGTGGTTGACGACGCTGACCACGTGATCACTTCACCCCTCCCCCCACCCCACGTGGTTGATGACGCTAACCACGTGATCACCCCTCCCCCCACCCCACGTGGTTGACGCTGACCACGTGATCACCCCTCCCCCCACCCCACGTGGTTGACGACGCTGACCACGTGATCACCCCCCCCCACCCTCCCCCCACCCCTCTCTCGCTCACTTGGCCGGCGGTCGCCATTGCTGCTCTGGTTGTGGTGGCTGTGGCTGTGGTTGTTGATGTTGTTGATGTTGATGTTGTTGTTGATGTTGCAGCTGTTGTTGTTGTTGTTGTTGATGTTGTTGTTGTTGTTGATGTTGTTGAGGAGGCAGCCGCGGCCTCAGCCAATCGTCGGCGCTGGAGGGCGGAGGTCGCGCGTGGCGGCAGGTAGGACGACATGCTGCCCCCCACTAATGGTGGTGGCTGCCCCCCACTAATGGTGGTGGCTGCCCCCCACTACTACTGGTGGCTGCCCCCCACTACTACTGGTGGCTGCCCCCCACTACTACTGGTGGTGGCTGCCCCCCACTACTACTGGTGGCTGCCCCCCACTACTACTGGTGGCTGCCCCCCACTACTACTGGTGGCTGCCCCCCACTACTACTGGTGGTGGCTGCCCCCCACTACTACTGGTGGTGGCTGCCCCCCACTACTACTGGTGGCTGCCCCCCACTACTACTGGTGGCTGCCCCCCACTACTACTGGTGGCTGCCCCCCACTACTACTGGTGGTGGCTGCCCCCCACTACTACTGGTGGTGGCTGCCCCCCACTACTACTGGTGGCTGCCCCCCACTACTACTGGTGGCTGCCCCCCACTACTACTGGTGGCTGCCCCCCACTACTACTGGTGGCTGCCCCCCACTACTACTGGTGGCTGCCCCCCACTACTACTGGTGGCTGCCCCCCACTACTACTGGTGGCTGCCCCCCACTACTGGTGGTGGCTGCCCCCCACTACTACTGGTGGCTGCCCCCCACTACTACTGGTGGCTGCCCCCCACTACTACTGGTGGCTGCCCCCCACTACTGGTGGTGGCTGCCCCCCACTACTACTGGTGGCTGCCCCCCACTACTACTGGTGGCTGCCCCCCACTACTAGTGACTGCCCCCCACTAGTGGCTGCTCCCCACTACTGGCTGCCCCCTACTACTAGTGGCTGCCCCCCACTACTAGTGGCTGCCCCCCACTACTGGCTGCCCCCCACTACTACTGGCTGCCCCCCACTACTAGTGGCTGCCCCCCCCACTAGTGGCTGCCCCCCACCCACTACCGGCTGCCCCCCACTAGTGGAGCTCTGTCTTGTACCCTGACACGCAGAGGCAACAACAGCTACTTTTATTTTTTATCAAACAAACAAAAAATTCCCCGCCCCAGCAGCTGCCTTGCTCAAAGAAAACTACGACTACAAATAATAATAATGATGATGATGATGATCACTTACATTATTATGATTCCTGTTACAACTCTAAGAGCGTGAGATGTATTTAACATGTGGAGAGAGACACACAGAGAGAGAGAGATATAATAAATAAATATTCCCGTTCTAGGATGACTCGCCACTCCGAATTCCTGAAAGGCAATTTGACTAAAAAAGGTAAAAAATAATAATTCGTGCACGGTTTGCCTCCCGAAATATATTAACGTGTTTAAAAAAAACCAGACGACTAACTTACTACTAATACTAATAATACTGCTGCTACTACTACTACGTATCGCTGCTACGATTCAGGACAACAACAAAAAAATTAAAATACTGGAAATGTTTATCAAGCCGAGCAGGCAAAGCGGAGCAAAAATAATAATAATAATGAAAATAAACTGGTGCCGGCCGGCCTCCCTCCCCTCCCCCCCTGCGCGAAGATTTTGCGACGAAATTGTTAAAAAGTTGCGATTTCTAAAAGTTTTAAAAAGTTGCGGGGTTTTTTTAAGTTTTAAAAAGTTTGCGGTTTCTAAAACTTTTAAAACTTTGCGGTTTCTAAAAGTTTTAAAATGTTGCGGTTTCTAAAACTTTTAAAACTTTGCGGTTTCTAAAACTTTTAAAACTTTGCGGGTTCTAAAACTTTTAAAAAGCTTCGGTTTTTTTAAACTTTTAAAATGTTGCGGTTTCTAAAACTTTTAAAACTTTGCGGTTTCTAAAACTTTTAAAAAGTTTGCGGTTTCTAAAACTTTTAAAACTTTGCGGTTTCTAAAACTTTTAAAAAGTTTCGGTTTTTTAAAACTTTTAAAACTTTGCGGTTTCTAAAACTTTTAAAACTTTGCGGTTTCTAAAACTTTTAAAAAGTTTCGTTTTTTTTTTACTTTTAAAATGTTGCGGTTTCTAAAACTTTTAAAAAGTTTGCGGTTTCTAAAACTTTTAAAACTTTGCGGTTTCTAAAACTTTTAAAAAGCTTCGGTTTTTTTAACTTTTAAAACTTTGCGGTTTCTAAAACTTTTAAAAGTTTGCGGTTTCTAAAACTTTTAAAAAGCTTAGTTTTTTTTAACTTTTAAAATGTTGCGGTTTCTAAAACTTTTAAAACTTTGCGGTTTCTAAAACTTTTAAAACTTTGCGGGTTCTAAAACTTTTAAAAAGTTTGCGGTTTCTAAAACTTTTAAAACTTTGCGGGTTCTAAAACTTTTAAAAAGTTTCGGTTTTTTTAAACTTAAAATGTTGCGGTTTCTAAAACTTTTAAAACTTTGCGGTTTCTAAAACTTTAAAAACTTTGCGGTTTCTATAACTTTTAAAAAGTTTGCGGTTTCTAAAACTTTTAAAACTTTGCGGGTTCTAAAACTTTTAAAAAGTTTGCGGTTTCTAAAACTTTTAAAACTTTGCGGGTTCTAAAACTTTTAAAAAGTTTCGGTTTTTTTAAACTTAAAATGTTGCGGTTTCTAAAACTTTTAAAACTTTGCGGTTTCTAAAACTTTAAAAACTTTGCGGTTTCTATAACTTTTAAAAAGTTTGCGGTTTCTAAAACTTTTAAAACTTTGCGGGTTCTAAAACTTTTAAAAAGTTTCGGTTTTTTTAAACTTTTAAAATGTTGCTGTTTCTAAAACTTTTAAAACTTTGCGGTTTCTAAAACTTTTAAAAAGTTGTGGTTTTTAAAACTTTTAAAACTTTCCGGTTTCTAAAACTTTTAAAAAGTTTCGGTTTTTTTAAACTTTTAAAAAGTTTCGGTTTTTTTTTTACTTTTAAAATGTTGCGGTTTCTAAAACTTTTAAAACTTTGCGGTTTCTAAAACTTTTAAAACTTTGCGGTTTCTAAAACTTTTAAAAAGTTTCGGTTTTTTTAAACTTTAAAAATGTTGCGGTTTCTAAAACTTTTAAAACTTTGCGGTTTCTAAAACTTTAAAAACTTTGCGGTTTCTATAACTTTTAAAAAGTTTGCGGTTTCTAAAACTTTTAAAAGTTTGCGGTTTCTAAAACTTTTAAAACTTTGCAGTTTCTAAAACTTTAAAAACTTTGCGGTTTCTATAACTTTTTAAAAGTTTCGGTTTTTTTAAACTTTTAAAATGTTGCGGTTTCTAAAACTTTTAAAACTTTGTGGTTTCTAAAACTTTCAAAACTTTGCAGTTTCTAAAATTTTTTAAAAGTTGCGGTTTCTAAAACTTTTAAAAAGTTTCGGTTTTTTTAAACTTTTAAAATGTTGTGGTTTCTAAAACTTTTAAAACTTTGCAGTTTCTAAAACTTGTAAAACTTTGCGGTTTCTATAACTTTTAAAAAGTTTGCGGTTTCTAAAACTTTTAAAAGTTTGCGGTTTCTATAACTTTTAAAAAGTTTGCGGTTTCTAAAACTTTTAAAACTTTGCGGTTTCTAAAACTTTTAAAATGTTGCGGTTTCTAAAACTTTTAAAAGTTGCGGTTTCTAAAACTGTTAAAAAGTTGCGGTTTCTAAAACTTTTAAAACTTTGTGGTTTCTAAAACTTTCAAAACTTTGCAGTTTCTAAAACTTTTAAAAAGTTGCGGTTTCTAAAACTTTTAAAAAGTTTCGGTTTTTTTAAACTTTTAAAATGTTGCGGTTTCTAAAACTTTTAAAACTTTGCGGTTTCTAAAACTTTTAAAACTTTGCGGTTTCTATAACTTTTAAAAAGTTTGCGGTTTCTAAAACTTTTAAAATGTTGCGGTTTCTAAAACTTTGAAATGTTGCTACTGCTACCACCGTGGTGATGATGGTGGTGATGGTGGTGATGGTAGTGTTGATGATAGTGGCGATGATGCTGATGATGGGAATGATGATACTGCTGCTGATGATGGTAGTGGTGATGGTGATGATGATGCTGCTGCTGCTGATGGTGGTAGTGAGGGTGCTGATGAACCTAATGATTGTGATGATTATGATGAGGCTGATGAGGCTGGCAGTGACGGTGGTGATTGATGATGCTGATGGTGGTGGTGATGATGATGATGGTGGTGATGATGGTGATGATGATGATGGTGATGATAATGGAGTCTATCGCAGTGACAGTAACAACGACTTCCTTACTCTCCCCTCAGTGCAGCAATCCGCTCCCCCAACTGGACCCCTCTCTCCCCGTACGCCGGATGACCCAAGATCGTCGCTTGCGGCTGGCCGGTCGTGATGGTGTTGGTGATGGTGGTAGTGATGGTGGCGGTGGTGGTAATGGTGGCGGTGGTGGTAATGGTGGTGGTGGTGGTGGTGAAATCCTTTCTCAAGAAGGTGATGGTGGTGGTGGCGGTGGTAGTGGTGGTGGTGAAATCCTTTCTCAAGAAGGTGATGGTGGTGGTGATGGTGAAATCCTTTCTCAAGAAGGTGATGGTGGTGGTGGTGAAATCCTTTCTCAAGAAGGTGATGGTGGTGGTGATGGTGAAATCCTTTCTCAAGAAGGTGATGGTGGTGGTGAAATCCTTTCTCAAGAACTCAGAGGAGAGTGAACTCGGCTAGCCAGGCGAACAAGAGGAGGGAGGAGGGAGAGGAGGGAGAGGCAGAGTCCGAGTGCGTGGTGCTGGCCACCCACCCCCTCTGTGTGTGCCACAGTGCCGGTAGCCTTCAGAGGTTGCTGCTGCTACTCGCTACTAACAGCACTTGCCCCTGCAGCCTGTTAGAGACTACACGGGGGATCTTTGTCTGTGTGCCGGTCGCCTTCACAGACAAAGACAAAGGTCCCCCGTGTAGCCTCTAACAGGCTGCAGGGGCAAGTGCTGTTAGCTAGCACCTCACACACAGACAATGATCCCCTGGGTAGCCTCTAACAGGCTGCAGGGGCAAGTGCTGTTAGCTAGCACCTCACACACAGACAAAGATCCCCTGGGTAGCCTCTAACAGACTGCAGGGGCAAGTGCTGTTAGCTAGCACCTCACACACACACACAGACAAAGATCCCCCGTTTAGCCTCTAACAGACTGCAGGGGCAAGTGCTGTTAGCTAGCACCTCACACACACACAGACAAAGATCCCCCGTGTAGCCTCTAACAGACTGCAGGGGCAAGTGCTGTTAGCTAGCACCTCACACACAGACACAGACAAAGATCCCCCGTGTAGCCTCTAACAGGCTGCAGGGGCAAGTGCTGTTACCCGGGTCGCCGGGTTCGATTCACTGCACCACCGCTCTCAATGTACAGACACCACACATTACACTACACACTACACTACACACTACACTACACACCACACATTACACTACACATTACACTACACACTACACTACACACTACACTACACATTACACTACACACTACACTACACACATTACACTACACATTACACTACACACTACACTACACACCACACATTACACTACACACTACACATTACACTACACACTACACTATACATTACACTACACACTACACTACACACTACACTACACATTACACTACACACTACACTATACATTACACTACACACTACACTACACACTACACATTACACTACACACTACACCACACACTACACCACACATTACACTACACACTACACTACACATTACACTACACACTACACCACACTACACATTACACCTTACACTACACTACACACCACACTACACATTACACTATACACTACACATTACATTACACTACACACTACACTACACACTATACATTACACTACGCATTATACTACACATTACACTACACACTATACATTACACTAGACATTACACTACACACTACACTACACAACACATTACACTACACATTACACTACACTACACACTACATGTACACACACTACACACTACATGTACACACACTACACACACGTACACTACACTACACATTACATACCACACCACACGTACACACTACATACACTCACACCACACTACACGTACACACACTCACACACCACACTACACACCACACGTACACACTACACCACACGTACACACACTCACACACCACACTACACGTACACACACACCACACCACACACTACACACCACACGTACACACTACACCACACGTACACACACACCACACACCACACGTACACACACACTACACCACACGTACACACACACCACACACT